CTACTACTACTACTACTACTACTACTACTACAAATACTACTAATACTACTACTACTACTACTGCTACTACTATACTACTGGCTAAATACTACTAACTACTAAATACTACAAATACTAACTACTACTACTACTGTACTACTACTACACTAATACTACTACTATAGTACTACTACTAATATACTAATACTACTACTACTACTACTAACTACTACTACTACTCATACTACTAATACTACTACACTACTACTGCTACTAATACTACTGCAAATACTACAAATACTTACTACAATACTACTACTATACTACTACAAATACTACTAATAGTTCTGCAAATACTGCAAATACCAGGACAAAATCAGGACTAAACCAGGACTAAACCAGGTCTAAACCAGGACTAAACCAGGTCTAAACCAGGTCTAAACCAGGACTAAACCAGGTCTAAACCAGGACTAAACCAGGTCTAAACCAGGTCTAAACCAGGTAAACCAGGACTAACCAGGTCTAAACCAGGACTAAACCAGGACTAAACCAGGTTAAACCAGGACTAAATGAGGAAAACCTGGACTCGACCTGGAGTTTGTTGACTGGATTTATGTAAATAAGACGCTGGAGCACAAACGGGAGGATTTCCTCCACGCGCCTCCGGATCTGAACTCGCACTCTTTAAAGCTCCACTCTGGGACATTTTCTTTATTTCCTTTGACACACAGACTCTTCCTCTTCTCCGTGTGTGTAAATCCGCTTTGTGACGACGGCGTGTGGTAAATAAATCTGTAAAAGAATTTGCGCGTCGGCGTTGGGATAATCCTCTCGCGGCGTCACGCGTGTTAGCTTAGCGCGCCGACACAATGCGTTTGAATGGGAGCGTTAGCGTTAGCCGCGCAGAGGGAAGCGACTGTACTTTAGCTTAGTGATTAGCCTAGCGATTAGCCTAGCGTTTGATGAAGCCGTGTTCAAGTTTGAGGTTCTAAAGTCTACGGAAGCCGAGAGGGGTCACAGCAAACGCAAACGCCGCGACAAATACAAACGCGACAACACGGCAAAAACCCACAACACAACAAAAAAAGCCACAACGGAAATGACCGCGGGACTCTGTTTTAATGCAAACGCCGCAACAAATACAAACGCCACAACACAAACGCAAATGCCACAACACATTAAAAAGCCACAACACATTAAAAAGCCACAACACATTAAAAAGCCACAACACATTAAAAAACCACAACAAACCAAAAAAAACTCACAACACAATGAAAAAAACCCATAACAAACCAAAAAAAAAGCCACAACAAACCAAAAAAGTCACAACACAATGAAAAGCCACAACAGAAGTGACCGCGGGACTCTATTTTCCGACGGACCGATCAAGCGGCAAGTGAAGAAGAAGAACTACAACGTGAAACAAATAACGATAAAACAATAAATAACTTTTACTTACGTTTCCAACTTCTCCGTTCCTTTACTTTTCACGTTGTAGTTTTACAGATTTAAAAGCAAAATTAAGAAAAAAAATAAATCCAGGCGACGACAAAAGTGCTAAGTGTGTGTTTGTTTGTTTGTTTTTGTTAAAAATAGTTACACACTGTGGCTTTAGGGATGAAGTTGAGCAGCTCTTTTTCTTTCTTTCTCTCTTTCTTTTTCTCTTTCTCTCCTGTGTCGTTGTGTGACCTCCAGGAGGCGCTGTGGCAGTGTGCAGAGTCTTCATGTCGTTATCTCATCCTCCTCCTCCTCTCCTCTTCCTCTCTTCTCCTCTTTCTCCTCTTCTCCTGCTTTTCCTCCTCTCCTCCTCTTCTCTCCTCTCTCCTTCTCTTCCCTCTCCTCCTCTTCTTTCTCCTTCTCTCCTGTGTTCAAGTCTCTTTTCTTTCTGTCGTGCTCAGCTCCTCTGGGTCCTCGTTCCCTCGTTCCCTCGTTCCCTCGTGGCCTTGGCAGAGGCGAGGGACTAGGATCTAGGAGTTAGGAGTCAGCAATGAGCAGCTAGGATGCATAGGGGCTAGGAGAGAGGAGCCAGGAGAGAGGAGACAATCTCCAAGAAATAATGATGAGATCAGCTTTTGTGGGAACAGGCCTAGGAGCTAGGAGCTAGGAGCTAGGAGCTAGGATGTAGGATGTAGGATGTAGGATGCATTGTTCTGTCCCTCTGCTCTGTCTACACATGTCTCACTTAGAGCTAGGACATAGGGGCCAGGACAGAGGAACTAGGACATAGGAGCTAGGACATAGGAGTTAGGACATAGGAGCTAGGACAGAGGAGCTAGGGCAGAGGAACTAGGACAGGAGCTAGGACAGAGGAGCTAGGACAGAGGAGCTAAGGCATAGGAGCAAGGACAGAGGAGCTATGACAGGAGCTAAGACAGAGGAACTAGGGCATAGGAGCTAGGACATAGGAGTTAAGACATAGGAGCTAGGACAGGAGACAGGACAGAGGAGCTAGGACAGGAGCCAGGACAGAGGAGCTAGGACATAGGAGCTATTGGAGTGGAGTGTGAGGTCACAGAGTGAGGTCACAGTGTGAGGTCACAGAGTGAGGTCACAGTGTGAGGTCACAGTGTGAGGTCACAGAGTGGTGTGAGGTCACAGTGTGAGGTCACAGTGTGAGGTCACAGTGTCACAGAGGTCACAGTGTGATCACAGTGTGAGGTCACAGTGTGAGGTCACAGTGTGAGTGTGAGGTCACAGTGTGAGGTGTGTGAGGTCACACACAGTGAGGTGAGGTCACAGAGTGAGGTCACAGTGAGGTCACAGTCACAGTGAGGTGAGGTCACAGTGTGAGGTCACAGTGTGAGGTCACAGTGTGAGGTCACAGTGTGAGGTCACAGTGTGAGGTCACAGTGTGAGGTCACAGAGTGAGGTCACAGTGTGAGGTCACAGTGTGAGGTCACAGTGTGAGGTCACAGAGGTCGGAGTTTTTTTCACAAACACAAAACAAAGAAAAATGTTCCTGAATAGTTTCAAATGACAAAAAGAATCTGCTGAGTCACTGTGAGACTCAAACTCTGTGACCTGATGTAGACCCGGACTAGTCCTGGTCTGGACCTGGTCTAGTCCTGTTCTAGTCCTGGTTTAGACCTGGTTTAGTCCTGGTCTAGTCCTGGTCTAGTCCTGGTTTAGTCCTGGTTTAGTCCTGGTCTAGTCCTGGTTTAGTCCTGGTCTAGTCCTGGTCCAGTCCTGGTTTAGTCCTGGTTTAGTCCTGGTTTAGTCCTGGTCTAGTCCTGGTTTAGTCCTGGTTTAGTCCCTGGTTTAGTCCTGGTTTAGTCCTGGTTTAGTCCTGGTTTAGTCCTGGTTTAGTCCTGGTTTAGTCCTGGTTAGTCCTGGTTTAGTCCTGGTCTAGTCCTGGTTTAGTCCTGGTTTAGTCCTGGTTTAGTCCTGGTTTAGTCCTGGTTTAGTCCTGGTCTAGTCCTGGTTTAGTCCTGGTTTAGTCCTGGTTTAGAGGTCGGTTTAGTCGGAAGCCGTTGTTGATCTTCGGTTTTTCGTCCATGTCTTTGTTCTTCAGCCTCCTCACCGTCTTCCTCACCTTCCAGGTGAGCAGCTCCTCCTCGTCTCCGTCGCCGCGGTCACGGACTCGGCTGTAAAACGCTCTGTGATTGGCTGACGCGCTCTCCTCCTTCTTCTCCTTCAGGAGTCCTTCTCCTGGATGCCCTACCTCAGCTACGTCTGCATCCTGGCCGTGATCGCCTCCTTCTGCTCGGGACCAGGTACTGCACCCTCCCCGCACCTGTCGAAAACACCTGTCAAACCACCTGTCGAAAACACCTGTCGAAAACACCTGTCGAAAACACCTGTCCAAAACGCCTGTCACAAACACCTGTCAAAAACGCCTGTCACAAACACCTGTCGAAAACACCTGTCACAAACACCTGTCGAAAACACCAGTCGAAAACACCTGTCAAAAACACCTGTCAAACCACCTGTCGAAAACACCAGTCGAAAACGTCGAAAACACCTGTCAAACCACCTGTCAAACCACCTGTCACCCTCACCTGTCACCCTCACCTGTCACCCTCACCTGTCACCCTCACCTGTCACCCTCACCTGTCAGCCTCACCTGTCTGTGGTTACATCATCATCTCATCCTGTCGCTCAGTCGCTGCTGAAAGTCTTTTATTTCTTGGTTTATTCTTGTTCCTGTCAGCAGGAGTAAAGTACTGTACTCAAGTAGAATTTTAATGTATCTGTATTTTACTTCAGTTCATTTTACAGCAAATACTTTTACTTTTACTTCACAAAATCTGAGTGTTTATCTGAACTTTCTACTCCACCACGTTTCTGAACAGAACTGAACAGGAAAAGTTGGTTCACACTAGTGTGTATGTGAGTGGTGTTGTGTGTACAGTGTTGTTCACACTAGTGTGTATGTGAGTGGTGTTGTGTGTACAGTGTTGTTCACACTAGTGTGTATGTGAGTGGTGTTGTGTGTACAGTGTTGGTTCACACTAGTGTGTATGTGAGTGGTGTTGTGTGTACAGTGTGTGTTCACACTAGTGTGTATGTGAGTGGTGGTGTTGTGTGTACAGTGTTGGTTCACACTAGTGTGTATGTGAGTGGTGTTGTGTGTACAGTGTTGTTCACACTAGTGTGTATGTGAGTGGTGTTGTGTGTACAGTGTTGGTTCACACTAGTGTGTATGTGAGTGGTGTTGTGTGTACAGTGTGTGTTCACACTAGTGTGTATGTGAGTGGTGTTGTGTGTACAGTGTCTGTTCACACTAGTGTGTATGTGAGTATGTGAAGGGGACTGTGTGACTGTGACTCGCTCCTTCTGATTCTCTGAGTTTGTGACGTCGACGTTTAAACAGTTTAAACAAACAGAAACAGATACAAATATTTACTTCAACACGTCCATGAAAAGGTGTTTTTACATCATCATCTTCCACTTGTCAACATCAGCTGCTGGAGCTTCACACACGATGCTGCTCTTGTTTTTATCGCCCACATGACGTGGTGACGTGGTGACACAGTCTGGTCATGTGACTGGTGTTTCAGGTGGGTTTGTGTTTCTGTGTG